TACCTATTGTTATGAATAAAAAATCCTTTAACAACTTAATTTTTTACATTGGTGAGCATTTTCCTTGAATTGGTATTATATAATTAATTAGTACATATCCTTTATTGTCTGTATAAAGTGAATGCATATACCACCATTCACTATCTTCATTATATTTAACAACTTCAAGTACTTCTCCTGTAAAAGTACATTATTATGTAATAATCATTTCTTTATTAATGCCAAACCTTTCTTTAAAGTTAAGAAATTTGAGGTTTGTGCTTCAAAATTATAACTAGCCATGAATACTGTATATAGAACAAGTTTTATTAAACAAACATACACCATACATGTTTATTTACATTTATCCTTTGTGATCAATTCCCTCAGTGATTGTAGTAGAGTAGAATCATTAGTAATTTTTTGTACAAAATATTCTGCTTTTTTATCATCATCAAGGAGAGTAGGTAGAAGTGATAATCCTTCCTTTGTCACTGCAAACTGAAACAAGTAAAGTAATTCTACTCTTGAGTATCCAATGTATTTCATTGGAACAGCACTCTTCTGTCCAGTCTCCAGTGATTGTACCTCATGTCCATTTGTACTTAACTGAAGTAGTTCACCCTTTTTGAATGAAATAATGTCATTATAATCATCTTGAGCTTCACAGATAGATCCATTGGATGAAAGCACTGTTTGTGTGGATTGAGCGATGTTGTGTGCTGATTTTTTCTTATCTATTGATGTCTGATTAGAAAATTGTATAATAAAGGCTTACTAAAAGAATTTGAAGTTTGCATTTCTAACAATTTTATACTAATAGATGAAATACTTTCCTGTAGTTCCCCAATTTCTTTTTCATTGTCTTGTAGTACTTCCTTTCGACCTGTTTTAAAGTACATGTATTATGTCATTAGAAGCTAATGAATCATGTATATACTTATTCTGATCCTTAGAGTAGATTGTAAATGTTCAGTTTCTCTTAATAACATTCGCCTTTTTGTGTTTGCAGCCTTTTCTCTTTCAATTTTTTTGATTTTAAAACCTAATAATATTGCATGTAGATTATTATTATTATTATTATTATTATTATTATTATTATTATTATTATTATTATTATTATTATCACTATTATTGTTATTTGTGCTATACCTGCTGTCTGCATAGTTGTATTGATGAATTCTAAATTTAATGATTATGTAGATTAATCTATTTTCCTGTATCCCTACCTTGTTTCTGTTTTAAAGGTATAAATTGTGATGCTTGATCATCAAGGAGACCTGTACATACATACATTGATTTGATTTTATAAGGAAATAATTCATCTCATACCTTTTTTGTCATTGTGGTATAGATTCAGCTTCTCTAATTCTCCTTCACACATTTTAATTCCCTCTGCAGCAGACTTTAGTTCCTAATAAATTCATATAAAGTTTTATAATAATTTGTTTGTTGGTATATACTTTGTTTCTGACGGTTCTATCATAAACAGTACAGTATCCAATTTTCAATCGCATCAAAGCAAATTCTTCTTGCAGCACAGTAAGATTATCACGAGCCCTCAATTGCAAAGCATTCATTAGATGAGTAGGAGCACCACAAATGATAATGATGGAGTTCCCTTTATGCATGCTTTTGACTATGATCCTTCTGCTCAATCCTTGAAATGCTTTCTCCATCAAACGACGAATATCATTCAATAAGTGCTCAGCAGGATCCCAGTCTAGAACAAATTCAATTGTTTCACAAACAAGAAAATCACTTATTGAAAGCTTATTATTGAGCAAGAATTGAAGCTTAAGTTTGTGACAAAACTCATCAAGTGTTGCACTATAATCAGATATCAATGGCTTAGCTTCTGTTATGCTGTAGAAACTGACTACTTCCTTTGCTGGTGCAATATTGATGACATTGCATTTTGTTCTAACAACTTTCATGACATCTTTCACTGTAGCAACAGAGGTTAGATTAGGACCTAGCTCAGGAAAGCAATCATCAACAAATTCTATGAAATCTTCAAGTTGGTTAACTCTGATGGTGTGAGATACCAGTCGAGTAACTTTGAAATAGAAAGTTCCAAATTTTCCTCTCATTTCATCAAAATTATAATGCTCTGAAATTTGAAACTCAAATTCTGTAGCTGGCTTACTTGTAACTTTAACACTTGATTCCTCAACTATAAAGGTATAACTTTTACTTGTAAATTATTTTTTAAAATAAAAATTACCTGAAATTGGTGCAACAATACTTGATTCATTGTGTGTATCACAACCACTGGTGGAATTTTCTGCATCAAAAATGTCCTCTAAAAAGCTGCATAAATTTCATCAAACATTATTGTTCTTACCACAGTCTCTCATTAAGTCAATGGCTATACTAACAGTGCCTGTTGATCTTAATAATATGCTAGCAAATGATTTCAATTTGTTATGATCATAAGCTACTGCTGTGTATACTTCTCTCATTGCATCATCTGTTAGTGTGTATCCACAACTCTTCACTTCCCTCAATGTCTCTTCAGATATCAGTCCTTCTGTATGTAACAGATCAACTGATTCTTCAGAGAGTGTTGCTCCAGATATTCTACTACTGTAATACTGTAGTAACTGGCTAGCAGGATCAACCACTATTAAGAAATAGAGTATAAATTTCAGTCTTATTGAATTAGAATAATTTACTTATTTTCTCAATATTTTCAGCCACTGTTTTTTGTTCTATTTTTCTAAGAGCACTAGCCAATGTCTGCCAAGTAGGGTGATGTGCTTTACTCAGCCACTTGGATAAACACTCCATGAGACAACGTGAAGTATTTCCTCTATGATTAGCATCAATAGCTTCCAGTGTAGGATGAATTAGACCAAGATTCAATCCAAATTCAAACCATTTTGCCTCAGGAAACCTGTATTGCTTTAAAATCTCTATAATCTCATTTAATTTGCTAATATCTAATGATAAAGTAAACACACACTAAGAGAAATAAAGATAAACTCACCTAAAATAATAGGGAACATTCTTGCTTGCTTGCTTGATGCCATTTTACTGTTGAACCAGGACTATCTCTTAATACCTAATAAGGTTGTGGTCAGACATTGGTTTACACAGCCCTAGCAATGAAACTATAATATAATTATACACTGTAATGTAATATGACATTTCATAGGATTCATTTACTACTGTGCTAATGCAATCAGTTCAATTCTGAACTGAATCACAATTCTTTACAATCGTTCAATTCTGCAGTAACTGCCAGTAAGTATAGTAGACAAATTTGGAAGCAAAGCAAAAGTCATCTAAAATAAAAACTTCTGTCATATTTTTTGATACAGACTGATGCTTTGGGCATTTGCAAAGCATAGACAACACCTGCTTCAAATCAGCTGCCTATCATTTATAAATTGTTATTACATTAAAAAATTTTTTCCACACTATGTTAATTAGACTGCTTTTTTATTTTTGTTTACATAGTTAGATCTATTATCACTCCTTTTATAACTAAATACATCACAACAGTTGAGCCATCATTTAATGCATGCATAAATTATAATAATACAAAATTTTATAAAACTTATGATCAAAATGGAATTTTACAAAATTAATGTCCTCATACTATGTAGAAAGTTTGAGCCAATTCTGAGCTCAAATTCTGGATTTATGAATGCTTTTTCAAACTAGCAGATTTTGAGAAAAAAGCATGGCCTATAGCTAATGACATTTTTCCAAAAAATGGCTCCAAAATTGCCCCATTTTTAATTATTACTTTTTTGATACATAGTGATGTCTTTATATACTATGTAGAACAGTTTGAGCTGATTTTGATTCATTAATTTTTATTCTGAACAGGAGAAGGAACTCTCGTAGAAGAAGAGTAAAATACGCCATCTTGGATCACAACAGAGAAGAAGGAGCTCAATCAAGAATGTTTGCTAAAGGTAATAAGAACATTACAGTAGTTTACCATATCATATGACTGTCTCATGTGGTCATTGCAGATAAATAATGTATCGCACTCATAATTAATAGTTAAGTAATTTTAATAACTAATCATCATAATTATTCATAACTGTCTGCTTAATAATAATAATAATAATAATCATTATTATTATTGAACACAATTTCTACAATAATAATTATTATTTCTTATTATTATCACTCGTCTTATAATTAAATATTTGATAAGAGATGAGCCATCATTTAATACATTATGCTGATGGTATTGATTTGTATCAGAAAATGTCACAATTTTAAAGCCAGTTTTTCATGAAATACGATTGACTTAAACAAAGGGAAAGAGCATCTTGACCGTATTTTTGCCAATTTCTTCATATGCGAAGTGTATGTAATGTATCATTATTAATCAGTTTAGTTATTTCAAATTGTGTATGCACTTACTGTCTTTTAAAAGCAAAATATATTCCATAAAATGTAGTGTACACATGCATTGATACATTAATAATGTAACCTACTAATCATTTTATCAACCTTCTATTTCTCTTTTTCTTTTTCCCATACATGCCCATAAGATTTTTTGATCCTAAGAAGGGAAACCTCAATGGAGTCAATGATAAAACCATCTCATTGAGTCACGTATGTTATAGGGAGGGAGGGGGGAGAGAGAAGGAGGGAAAGAGAATCAGAGATTAGAAGATCCTATATTTTTAGTATTTAAATTGACATTAAATTCATATTGAGAGTGTAAGAGCTATTTGTAAAAAAGGGAACATTATAAACTAATCAGACTTATAATGCATGCTTTGTACATTGCTGGCATTAATTCATTTTTTAACTTACATGTAGCAGTACAAACTGAACTGCAATATAATCTTATTAACACTAAAATCAAAATTAGACTTGGCTTCTTTTGTATTACTGTTTATACATGATGATAGTAGGCTCCCAGTTATGGTAATTTTACTTCAAATCAAACTGGACATTGAGAAAATTAGTAAATATGAATGCATAGTCTATTTATTTGGTAAGTAAAGTATCAAATATATGCTTAAAGTTGGGCCTTTGATCTTCATTCTGTTTCCAGCAGTTCATCATAAGTTGTTTAAATGGTTCAGGACAATCTCGGGGTATGGGCATATAATCACCTTTTGATACTAACTCCTTTACTTCTTCATCAGTCATACCAGGATACGGTTCCTTTCCTTTGGTAGCCAGTTCCCATAGTAATATACCAAATGACCAAACATCAGATTTAATACTCAGTCGGTTTAATATGTGCCCTTCAGGTGCTGTCCATCTATAAGCTAGTAGATCATATTTCTTAATGCTGTAGTATTTTTTGCCATTGAGGTGTTGAGCAAGATGAAAGTTTGCTATCTTGACAGTGTTATAGCGGTCTCCTATTAGTATATTTTCAGCTCTTACATCACAATGAATGTAATCTTGTTCTGCTAGATATTTCATACCATCAGTAATTTGAATAGCAATGTCCACCAACTTGACTTGTGTAGGAGACTTAGTCATATTAATTAAATAATTCCTAAGATTTTGATCTATTGGCTCTGTTATGATGTAAAAAGGATAACTTTCAGTGCAAACACCATATAGACTGATGATGTTTTTATGATGAAGTTTTACCAATATAATGGCCTCTTTAATGAATGCTTCTTGTGTAATATCTGTTGCTATATTTGTCTTAATGATAACCGGGCCTATACCATTACAATCACCCTTCCATGTCTCTCCAAAGTGTCCTGCACGTATGTACTGTAAAAACTTGATATCCAGCTTATTAATTTCCAACGCTTTACTAATTTCAATGGGAATTTTTGCTTGTTTGGGTATAGGAGCTTTTAGTGAGCAGATCAGACCATCAGCTTTCATCATGTAGTGATGTACCAGGTCATTGAGTGAGTCAAACTTGACATGAGGGTATATATAATACTTATTTTTCTCAATGTATATATGGTAGTGCCTGATAGTGACTCCACCTTTAACCGAGAGAGTATTTGTTCCAGATATGCTCTCTCTAATTAGGAAAGTACCTGCTTGAGTGCCTGTTTGACTCAGTCTCTCCTCTGCTTCATCACGACTCACTGTATGATAGTAGATGTACTTGTACCTATTGTTGATAAATAAAAGATCCATTGATATAACTTTAATTTCTTACATTAGTGAGTATTTTCCTTCAATTGGCAATATATAATTAATTGGTACATATCCTTTATTGCCTGTATGAAGTGAATGCATATACCACCATTCATTATCTTCATAATATTTAACAACTTCAAGTACTTCCCCTAATATAAAAGTACACTATTATGTATTGTATTATTGTTGCCAAACCTTTCTTTAAAGTTAAGTCATGTCGGCTTAGTCCTTCAAAATTATAACTAGCCACAAATACTGTATATAGAACAAGTTTCATCAAACAAGCATCCACCATACATGTTTATTTACATTTATCTTTTGTGATCAATTCCCTCAATGATTGTAGTAGAGTAGGATTATCAGTAATTTCTAATATAAAATATTCTGCTTTTTCACCATCATCAAGGAGAGCAGGTAGGAGTGATAATCCTTCCTTTGTCACTGCAAACTGAAACAAGTAAAGTAATTCTACTCTTGAGTATCCAATGTATTTCATTGGAACAGCACTCTTCTGTCCAGTCTCCAGTGATTGTACCTCATGTCCATTTGTACTTAGCATAAATATTTCACCCTTTTTGAATGAAATAGTTGTTTCATTATAATCATCTTGAGCTTCACAGATAGATCCATTGGATGATAGCACTGTCTGTGTGGATTTGACTTTTTTATCTATTAATGTTAATTTGATAAAAAATATCAGAAAATATTAATATAAATACTTACAGTAAGAAAGTTGCATTTTAAGTAGCTGTACACTAATAGATGATATACTTTCCTGTAGTTCCTCAATTTCTTTTTCATTGTCTTGTAGTACTTCCTTTCGACCTGTTTTAAAGTACATGTATTATGTCATTAGAAGCTAATGAATCATGTATATACTTATTCTGATCCTTAGAGTAGATTGTAAATGTTCAGTCTCTCTTAGTAACATTTGCTTTTTTGTACTTGCAGCTTTTTCTCTTTCAATTTGCTTGACTTTAGATTTTAAACCTTTTAATTCAATAATAATTATAATAAAATTTTGTTGCTATTATATTTATGTTATACCTGATGCCTGCATGCCACTATTGATGAATTCTAAAGTTATTGTTAAAATAACAATTATAACTGAGTGAGTGTATTGTCCCTACCTTGTTTCTGTTTTAAAGGTATAAGCTGTGCTGCTTGACTATCAAGGAGACCTGTACATGTATACATTGATTTGATTTTATTAGCAAAATAATGTATCTCATACTTTCTTTGTCATTGTGGTATAGATTCATCTTTATTAATTCTCCTTCACACATTTCAATTTCCTCTGCAACAATCTTTACTTCCTGTTATATTCATATAAAGTTTAAAAATTATTATATATTTGATAGTCTATATATACTTTGTTTCTGATGGTCCTATCATAGACAGTGCAGTGTCCTATTTTCAATTGCATCAAAGCAAATTCTTCTTGGAGCACAGTAAGATTATCACGAGCCCTCAATTGCAAAGCATTCATTAGATGAGTAGGAGCACCACAAATGATAATGATGGAGTTCCCTTTATGCATGCTTTTGACTATGATCCTTCTGCTCAATCCTTGGAATGCTTTCTCCATTAAACGACGAATATCATTCAATAAGTGCTCAGCAGGATCCCAGTCTAGAACAAACTCAATTGTTTCACAAATAAGAAAATCACTTGTTGAAAGCTTTTTATCAAGCAAGAATTGAAGCTTAAGTTTGTTACAAAACTCATCAAGTTTTGTACTATAATCAGATATCAATGGCTTAGCTTCTGTTATGTTGTAAAAGCTGACCACTTCCTTTACTGGTGCAATATTGATGACATTGCATTTTGTTCTAACAACTTTCATGACATCTTTCACTGAAGCAGCAGAGGTTAGATTCGGGCCTAGCTCAGGATAGCAATCATCAAGAAATTCTATGAAATCTTCAAGTT